AAAAAAAAAAAAAAAAAAAAAAAAAAAGGTAAGATAAATGATATTAGTATTGCATCTTTTGTCGTCTTTCTTTTAAGGGGCTTGTTTTGTTTGGTGCTGGAGATTGAACCCAGAGCTTCAGCTGTATTAAGTACATACTGTATCACTGGAAAATGCCCCCACTTCCCTGTTTCTGTCTTTTTGGTAATCTGTTTGAGTAGAACCTCAGACAAGGATACATGTAGAAACTTGTAATCAGTTGTTTTAAAGAGAATCAGAGACATAATTGGGATGCTGAACTTCAGCAGAGTCTTCACTATGTCATCCTTGGGCTGATACTGCTGTTGTACAGGCTGAGAGGGATCCAGAATTCCAAGCAAGGGGTGAACTGGCTTTCTTCTTTGGCTTCCCCACCCCTCCTAATGCTGCCATGATGCATCTCCTCCATGTATCACATCTAACTTGGTCTTGAAGGAGGTTAAGGTACTTGAACTTGGTTCTTGAAAAAGATCTCAGTTTGACTCACCATATTCCTTATATTTAAGAGAAATGCATATTTGAGAGCTTATGAAAACATGAAAGAGTCTTGCTAAGGCAACATAGTGAATTCTTATTCCTAAATTATTATGCAACCTAAGGACAGTCTGTTTCTTCTTGATAGTAGAACTTTAAATTTATTTGGGGAAGAGGATATTTGTACAGTGTACACATTTCTTGCAATAGGAAAATCAAGCTAAAACAGCAGATAGATATTGTTGCATAACACCCAGAACTGTTTTCTGGCCATCTCAGCTGCTAGTATCTCAGACCCACTTAAGAACTGGGAGATAAGCCAGAATATCTCAGAACAAGACAAATGGAGTTAATGCACCTAGATTCATCATCTTTACTAATAGGATGACACCTCCATCCTCACTCACAGCCTGTTTATTCTTTCATGCTTGGCTCTACCAGTTGTTGCTGACGTCGTCAGGGCAAGAAACAGTCCTAGGTAACAATACAGTGTACATAGGAAGAGCACTAGCTGTGGAGAAAAGCAAGTGTTTCTGCCTTTTCTCAAGCCCCCAGTGAGAAAATCATGCACATCACAGATATCCATTTAGAGTATAAGTTTATAAAAGATGATATTTATTTTGCTTAAAAAAGACAATATAAATATCTTTAGAAAGACAGCTCTCAAAATTGGTAAAAATTGACACTTAAACCAAATTAATTTGAAATCCCACTACTTAAGTACTGCTATAACTCATTTAAATAGTCCAAGTCTTTTTCTTCTTATAAAGTTATGAATATATTATACCTACAGTAATAGCTTGCCACCCTATCTCACAGACTTGTAGAATCATTTACCAACTTGCTCCTCTTGCACATTATTTGGCCATCCTAGTCATGCTGTTAGAGGAAGGGAGGAGACAGAGAAAGCCTCACACCCCTGACCTCTTACACTTATCTTCCATGAGGCTTCCAGAGGGATTATACCAAAGCCAGCAAGGCCAATTCTGCCATCTGACAACAAACACCCCCTACCCACCTGCCCATGCGCCCACCCTGTGAGTGTGGGAGCAGCTTGAGGGAGATCAGGCTCCTTTGATTTTTCTGTAGTGTCTCTTAACACCTAACACAGGGGCAAACATGTGTAAAGTAATCAGTAAATGCTAATTGACTTGAGTGAAGTTGGTTTCTGTGTTAATTCCTTCCTTGATTGTGGTAAGTCTTTGAAATTATCTTTCTTGTGGCTGCTTAATGGAAGCAACTGTTATGTTATATGACATCAGTCATGTGACTATGCTGTGTAGGAAGTTGCCTGGTCACCTCTTGTCCCCTTCACTACCACCACCATACCACCCTACTCCCATACAGTTCTGCTCAGACCTGCTGCCCCAGGTAGTGTGCCAGCTGACTATATGTGAGCCTCTGCTTACCCTCCTACATTGTTCCCCTTTTCGCTCAGCACAAAGGTGCAGACTGTGCCCAGTGGACTTGCAGGAACCATTACACACAGATCCAGGAAACGATAGGCCATGTTCTTGCCCAATTTGCCGCATGCCACTTGGCTATATTCAAGGCTCCTTCTTTGTTCGTTTATATACCACACAGCTTTCAAAAGCCTATGTTCTGGGCAGCTGCTTTCCATCCCTCCTACTCTCTCAGTGTCCCTCCCTAACTCTCTGTCCCCTTTTCTCCCTTCAGTTTTTCTGTTAATGCTCTGAGTGTCTCTGTGTAGCTTCTCCCTCGCTCTGTATTTTCCTGTCTCCCTCTCTTCACTCAAAGTTCATTCTGTCTGTGATGATGCAGATATTTGTAGGCTTCACTCCTAGCTTTCATCTAGTTCAAGGGTAATTTATTTCCTTCTTCTTCCACCCCTGGGATCTTTCCCTGCCTAGATCTGAGCCCTACCACCTGCTTAGCGTCAGCTTGAAAAGGTTTTCTTCATCATTCCTCCTGTCCCAACTGGACTGTAGTTTTTCCAGGGCCGCTGAGGAAACCCTGCTAAGGGTCTCTGATCAGTCTTTCTTTCTTGTGTTTTGTGGACCCAACTCTGTAACTCCAAACTGTAAACTCTGAGCTGTTTTCCCCATTCCTTTTCCTTTTCCATTGCCTTCGCCTTCTTCAACCTCTTACTTTTTCATCTTACTCTCCATTTCAACCTGGATAGACCCTCCTTTTCCCAGGCAAGTTCCTGCTTCCTAGGAGAACTGGTTCTCAAGCCTTCCTTTCCTCTCCTGCCATTATTACCATTCTTACCTTAATGCCAGTTCCCCTCTGAGACTGCATTCGTAAGAAAAATATAACACTGCATCTAAAGCATCTTTAAATTTCTACCATCCCCTTTTCACCCATTCTGTGAGTCTGAAGTTTTCTAGCTTTCAAAGTTGTAGATGCATTATTCTAAATTCCAATGCCTATTATGTTCTGGCTTGTTAAACTACAAATTTTTTATTTCAGAACTTAGAACTCCCTCAGTGACATTTAAAATTTCAGGTCCTAATGAGTTTCCAGAACGCTTGGTCCTGTATTACATGTTTTCATTTCCCTGACATTCCCACCATATTTTAGGCTAAATGTTTAAGAAGAAATGATCATCACACATTCAGGCAGTCATGCTTTTTATTCCCCAACTCCTTTGCCATTACTGTCTTTGATCTTCAGTCTTTGGTTTTTAAAATAAATTTCCTGTGGTTTGTAAAACTTATTTGTTATATCCATAGTACAAGTTTGCTGTTGAAAATTTAAAAAAATAAATTATGCATCAATAATCCTTCTATGTAGTGTGATAGCTATTAAGATTTTGTTTTGTTTTGTTTCTAAGACAAAGTCTCATTATTTTTCCCAGGCTGGTCTCAAGCTCATGGGCTCAAGAGATCTTTACTTAGTCTTTTGAGTAGCTTAAATGACAGGTGCTCATTATTAAATCAAGCTTATTAAGGCTTTTTATTTTAATATCTTCCTGCCTTTTAAAAAATGCATGTACATGTATATCTATACACCTGTTGTATATTGTTGGGTTTATTCCACGTAGGAAGTTTTGAATCTTGGTTTTACTTAATATTATAATTGAAATACTCCTTTGTACCAGTGAATATTGTTTAAAGATGTGACTTTTAATAGCTTCATGGAGTTTTGTGTCATGCAAATCTGTAATAGTTTATTTACATGTTTTGTGCCTTTACATATTTTAATCAAATAAAGACAAGATTCTCCTTTGCTCATTTTTTCTTAGATGTCCTAATTACTTCATCATTGTTAGTTATTCTAAAACCATAGCTTTAATTTTGTTGCTTTCAATGATTCTGCCACTCTTGATTTTGTGGAATTGCTTATAGAAGAAATGTAATTATTTGAGAAAGTGGCTTTTCACAGTTATATAGTTATTGAAATTTAAAATAGAGTTAATGGAAGAGATTTTCAAGAGTAACATCGAGGTTCTTTGTTGTTTTGTTAAAAGTATAAGTCCTCTTTCAACACAATATGAGCATCTTTGTTATGGTGAAGATGTTGTTTGCTGTCTTTTAATATCATCTGTTTTTATGAAAATACTTAGTGGTATCTGAGGTATTAAGCTTAATGTCAGTATTTTCAGTTAGACAGGTTTTTTCCTTTATATGTACTTTGTTTTAAAGCATTCATCCTGTCTGTTTTTCCTTGAGTATTTTTATTTAGTTTTAATAAATAGGAATTTTCTAGGTTCAGGAAATTTTCACCTTTATAATGTTTCTGTAGCAGCATTGATTATTATGTTCAATTATCTTGGCAAGGTACTATTAATAATGAGCTGGTTTTTAAAAAGATAAATAGAAAAATGAAGGTATTGAAAATGTTCCTGCTCTTTACATTAGAGGGTTACAGAAAAAGTATTCTCTAAGCCCTTCACTTTTCAGAATCTCTAATTCTTAGGCTTTCAGCAATATGAAAATGGTCCTGCAACGCAGTTATAGACCATTTGTAATAGTGCTCAAACTGCTAGTCGAGTGAGTCTGTGCTGAAGGATAATCATTAACCATGTTTGATTAGATTGAATTCCTCCTGTGCTTTTTTAGAGGACCTTTACCTACATGCTCAATTCTTTATGGCTATGTTAACCTGGTATCATGCATTCTCAGTCTTCATTATATTTTTCACACAATGGCAAGAGAATGATTGAAAGATCAATATGATAAAAATGTCTTCTCATTTAGGAAAAGTCCTGAAAGTATTACTCATTCCGATCAACTCAAGGAAAAGGAGAAACAAGGTTTTTTCAGATCAATGAAAAAGAAAAAGAAGAAATCTCAAACAGTAAGTAGATACCCAATTTCTATATATAATGGCATAGGTTTCTGCTTTATTCTGTGGTTACTTTATACTCTGTATGTGGCAATCAAAGTTTATTTCTTACTGAGACCTGAATGCATACACTGTAGATTTCTCTTTCTGAAATTCTACACAACTGTTCCCTCACAGAGCTTTCTAGATTCAGCAGAACCTCCAAGAGTAGAAATCTAATTTGGATGAGAGAGAATACTTTAAATCTCTCTCAATAAACTTCTTATCCAAATGGATTTATATTCCTATAAAAACTATGAAAATGCAGGATTTGTTTCTCCCTGGGGGCATAAAGATATGTGAAAATTTAGGAAATGATTTTGGTTTACATTTAAATCTTGAAATTCATAAATAACCACCATTCCTTATCCTCCCTTGGCTGGTTGTAGGCTGCCCATGTTGACAGGCACATTTCAAGCCTGCTTTAGTAGGAAAACATGTTTCCCCCTGTGACTGCACTGTCAGACAGACTGTGCCCAGGCTCCTGGGAGCCCTTGGCCTAAACAAAGGGCTGCCTCCATAGGACTGAGCACCTCACTTCACTGAACCACCCAAGCAAGGATCCTGCTGGCTAGCAATGCAAGAAAATGGGGAACCAGGCCTCCAGGACCCAGGAGAGTGGTTCTTCATCCAAAGGAGGCTTGCTTCTCCTTTTGCTTCATGACACCTTCAAGACTAGATGAGGTTGAGTTAGCCATTTTAAATGGTTTTGTTTCCATTTTTACTTCATACATGATTTACCTTCATTTATTTGAAAAGGAAAATGGCATTTTTTGAGGGATTTCATCTGTAAAATGAATGGATTAGACTCAGTGTTTCTGAGGTCCTTTCCAGTTGTGAAAATTCTAGAATTATGACTCCTCAGTAAGTAATGACAAGATAAATGACACTAGCAAAGTATATTACCCCAAGTCCTTACTTTTTGTCTCACAGATGTTCTAGACATGTTAACAAAGACCTTTCTAGATTACCTTTCTAGACCATTGTTTCACTTGCTTGCGTAGTAAATGTATGTATTTCATTATACAATAAACATGACCTCATTACAGAAAAATCATGGAAAACAAAGATTGTTGTTAATCTTACCACCTTCCCACAACTAGTATAGTAAGTCCCCAGCTTAGAAATGAGTTCCATTCCATGAGAATTGTTCATAAGCTGGATTCATTCATAAGCTGACAAACCAAGTCTTAAACAGTATACCTGTGAAAGTTCACAAAAAACGAATTATTTATAAATCAGGGACTTATTCTACTGTATTAGGATTTTGGTGTCTTTCCCCTTAGTTTTTTAGCTAATGTATATATTTGTGGAAGAAAGGTCAGTGGGTGCACACACATTTGAAGTTTGTTTTAAATAATAGTAATGATTCTAGTAAAATTTTGTATTCTGGATTTTAATAGTATATCCGTCTGTATTATACACATATTATATGTATATGTGTGTGTATATATATATATATACACACACACACACGCGCGCGCGCGCGCGCGCGCACATTTATCTATCATAAGCATCAAGTGTTGGCTACATCTTTTTGACCACTGTTATTTATATTTCAAAGTTTTTGTTCTTACCACAGATCTGTGGACATTATAGGATAATTAAGTGTTAGAAATAATAGGGATCAAGGAATTTAAGGTATTTTATAATGTGTGTCTGCCTTAGCCCCTGACTCATTTGGCTCGTGTGTGTGTGTGTTGACATTTTTATTCAGGCTTCAGTTCAAATTTTAGATAGTTAAATGATATACACTAGGTTAAATAGGGAAATTGCTATTCTGTAACATCCTCTCCACTTATTTTTTTATTGAATATTTAAACTAACTGCAAAATATCTTTCCACAGGCCATAATGCTGTAAGCCTTCTAAAACAGAGTTTTTTTTTATACCTTTGCATGATTTAATTAAAAGAAAAAAGAAAGTTTTAAGGGCTTTGAAATATAGAGTCTGATTTTCAAAGAGCACTATATAGTCTGTGAGATCTCAAGGTATTAAGCCTGGCATTGGGTCAATTTCACCTTCTTTGACTCTGCATTTAAATATAATTCAAGTTGATTTGTTTTTACTTTCTAGAATTCAGTAAAAGGAAACTAAACACACTTTGAAAGATAAGACATTCTAGCCTTTATATAAAATTTAAAGAAACTGGAATCTGATGCCCAGTGCACACAGTGAAATATGACATTTTAAAGTTGAGGTGGATCCTAAATCTACTTAAACTCCTTTATTTCACTAGTATAGTAACTGAGCCCAAGCAGATCATGACCTGCCCAAAGTCACAGTCAAATGGGAGGGCCAAAACTGGGCTCTCCTGAATCCCAAGCTCAGGCTCAGTCATTGTCATACCATCTCTTTGAGACACTTCTGGGAGCTCTCTTCAGGCCTCCTTAGCAATGCAAGTTAAACTCTGCCCTGTCATTAGACCAGGAAAATTATGGCATGTTTTACTTGACTATTTTTGTTCACCCATGAAAGATAGTCTGGTTAACTTTATATCCATTGTAGTTCTCTGACAATTGAGATAGCTAAATGAAGGAAAAAGTACCAGAAAACAATGTTGTATTGTAAAGGTGCCTGCTTTGTTTGACTCAAGCAGATCTGGAGTCTGCCTTGGGAAATCTGGCTTCCGTTCCAATCCAGATAGTTGCATAAGCCCTCAGAGCATATGGTGACTTTGCCAACTTGGTAATTGTATCCTACTTAGTATCTCAACTTGCAAGGATGCTTCATTTTTTAAAATTGAACTTTATGTTTCTTCACTTGAAAACCAGTATCTGAACTGTGGCAGGTATTTTCCATGGGGTAAATGTTTCTAGCAGTGTAGAACAGACTTCTTACTCAAAATTAGTATCCCACAACAGTGGTAGTCCTCTTCCAAGTGATGTTTCCTGGCTCAAGAGTTGACCATGTTCAAAAGAATTCACAGTATCTTTTTTTTTTCTAACAGGCAAATCACATGGTAGACTTTTTAGTTTCTGAAGTCCTCTTCTAGCAATTAGGGAAAGACTAAGCTTTATCAGCAGCTCATAAAACATAACCTAAGAATTGTTTCTAATAATAAATTCTTAAATGTTTTAAAATCTTAATATAAGCAGATGGCTGTAGTCTCCAGGCATTCCTACTGTAGTAGGTTTTGACCATGACTATATATTGTATGCTCAGAAGAAATTCTTGCTTATCTTGAACTTACCTTATTGACTTCTTCATTTCCAGGTGAGAAATGACACAAAACCTCTCTAAGATGTACAACACAGACATTCTTTCAGTGACTTAATAATTTAACAATTTGAGGGCTGCCAAAAGCTAGTAGTTTTAGTAAAAACACCCTTTTTTGGCAATTAGTTTATTTGTATCTTATATTGCAGACAGATTCCACCAACGGGGAGAATCCAAGCATCAAGAAATCCCTCTTTCCTCTTTTTGATTCAAAGAATCATTTAAAGCATAGTTCTTCTTTGAAAAAGCTTCCTGTAGTCACTCCACCCATGGTACCCATTTTTATGTATGGTAGCCCTGAAAAATGCTCCAGTAAACTTGTTTTACTGATGACAACAGCATGTCTTATTTTCATGGGGTCATATTCTCTTTATGCTAGTTAAGTACCTGAGCCAGTTCCATAAATTCACTGAGATATAAATTCTTTGCCTTTCTGAATGAGTTATTGAAGCATAAAGTCTGTTGAACAACAAACTAGTGAAAGGCTAGTTTGGATTGTCTGATTAGCCAGTTATTGACAGATAGCATTCATAAAATCCCTTATTTTCCATGAAGGATTTGATTAACATTTACAGTTGAAAAATGTCTTTGTGTTTGGCTCATGAAGTTTATTAACATTTGGTTTGCAGTTTATTTCTCTGAAACCACGTTTGAATTGACCAAATTAAGTGAGCTACCAGGCTCCATGAAAAAACAGCTTCTACTAGTTGGTGGCTTGATCTTTCCTTGCCTGGCTCTGGCTTTTGCTGGTCACTTAGTTTACAGCCATGGCTTTTGCTTGACATTTGGCATAACTGTCCTTTATTCACCAAAATTGGTGAATGGACCGATTGCATTCATTTGGAATTTGTGGCATAAATTTCCAGCATTTACCTAGTGTGTAATAGTAGACCCAGCTTTACTGGGCAGTGGTTTGGGAATATGATTCAAACCATACTTTCCTACTTTGCTGTCCTTGAAAGCCTACTAGTCTTCTTTAACATCACCAATTACAGTGTTTGGATCACTTTCCCAGCAGGAAAAGTTTTTTATTTTATTGAACTGGTTCATAACCTAACTGCAATATGGAATGAGGATACGACGGCAATTCCTAGTTCAGCCCAATTTAACTGCTCTCTCTTACAGCAACTGAAACTAACAGCATGGGAACGCTTTAAGGGTTGAAGTTTTAACAAAGCTGCATGACATCTGCCAATTTTTCCTAATACAGGGAAAATTATTAAGAGGGCAGCAGAATTTAACTAGCATCACTTGCATTATGAACATTGGGAGAGTTTGGGGTTTCTCTATTGGGTCTATTTTTTTTTTTAGTTTGGTTTGATTTTCTTTTTGGTTTGGTTCTCCTCTTGAATGTGGTTGTAATTTTTAATTAGTCTTATTGGTGTGTTTATTGATTCCTTGTCCATCTTTTGCTCTAGGTACCTAATTCTGATGGCCCTGATCTTCTGACATTGCAGAAAGCTCTTCACTCTGCTAGCACTACAAGCAGCAGGCCAAAGGAATGGCGCCCTGAGAAACTATCAGATATACAGACCCAAGTGAGTGAAGGCCACACCACTCCTAGACTCTGACTCTGCAGCAATTCCACAGGTGGTGGGCAGTGGAGAGAATACTTAGCCTCTCGATGTTGTAGCAAAGATGAGTCTTCCCCAAATAGACGCTCATTAATAGCCAGGTGCATCTTGGGAGTCAGAATCTTGTTTCAGTGACTCATGTTCCAGTGGGGAAAAAGCAAGCCCTCTAATTATCTTCATCTAGTTGGGGAATGGGCATAAGTTTAGAAGAACGAAAAAGACATAGTCTTCTGTATCAAATACTGTACAACCCGGGAGAGAAAGAGTATACACAAGAATCTTAGTTAAAAAGATCTTGGAATAAAGTGAGATGTGCCATAATCTGCAATAAAACATAAGATCCTAATAAGATTACTGTCATTTAGAAATGAGAAGAAAGGAGCTAAAGGTGTAGGGAAGGTGGGATGGGTAGGGGAAGGATAATAAGGGAAAAGAAAAAAATATGAGATAATGAAAGGATGGAAATAAAGTGTTTGTAGATGGGGAGGGGAGGAGGGGGTACCCAACAATGAATGTAACTGTACTGTATCCCTAAACTGTACCAATAAACTCAGTTAAAGCTGAAAAAAAAAAAAGTTGAGGAGGATGGGCAGAGATGGTGAGATGATTAAGGTTTCCTTAAAGGTGGTGGTAGCATATAAATTAGGCCTTCAAAGATGAGTATAATAAACCTTGAATGAACATATAAACTTCTGAAACCTATACTTTTTCATTTATTTAGTTATTTGTACATGTTTGCACTGATAGAAAACAGGCAAAAAGTTGCATTAGGAAATACCTATTAGACAATATTGTGTACCTAACATTTATCTGCTATAATGGGGAAATAAGCAAACTGAATCAGTAAAGTTTTCAAGTAACTAAGGTTTATCACCTTTAAACAGCTATTTAAAATAAATAAATATAAAGTGTTTGTAAATGGGGAGGGGAGGAGGGGGTGAAGGGAGCGCAAGGACGAGGGGAAAAAATGAGAACCAAGACCTGTCATGTAAAGGTACAAGATCCCAATGATGAATGTAACTGTACTGTATCCCTAAAATGTACCAATAAACTCAATGAGGAAAATAAATAAATAAATAAATAAATAAACAGCTATTTTGATTGGAAGTATTTCAGTATTATATCTTTTCAGTATCCCATAAAAAACAAGCTAATATAATCTACCATATTTCCTTTAATCATGTCAAAGATTTCTGTGATTTGGAGAAAAGGGCTCTGCTTTTTATAGTTTTTGTTTACTCTTTTCAACTGTAAGGTATTAATTTAGAGCTATAGACAGGTGTTGCCCAAATTGCCATTCTCTTTAATTAACCATTGATATTTTCTGCCTCTAACATAATATAGGCTGGGGGGGCATAGAGAACCAGATACCTAAGTTTATCAGATGTGTATCCAAACTAAGGAGACAAGGCTCTGAGTAAGAACCTGATAACACTATTCCCAGTTTCTTTAAAATGAATAAATAAAAGAATGTGGGGCTTTAGTATCTCCTTGAAAAAGAAAAAACATTTCTTTTGCCAGGAAGCTCTTTTCAAGTAACTACATCTCCAGTTGGATGAGTCTCCTTTCACAGTATAGTGACCTGTGGGATTTTGGGCCAGCAGCAGCCATACTACAGAGAAGACTACTGTGAGCCCATATTAGATGTTCACAGCCTCCAGTGAACGAATCATCTATTAGATTCTATAGGGGTTTTGCTTGTTTCTCTGTTTTGCAGTTATTTTTTTCAGCTTTTATTGAGTTTATTTTAGGGATACAGTACCGTTACATTCATTGTTGGGATCTTGTACCTCTACATGACAGGTCTTGGTTCTCATTTTTTACCCTTGTCCCTGCCCTCCCTTCACCCCCTCTGTTTTGCAGTTTTAAAGCCCAACTATTACCCCCCCTAAATTTTTTTAAAGTAAAACTATAGCAGGGAACACTAAGATTTTGCATTATCAAGGGAAAGGAGAGATAAGAACAAAAAGGGTTATATGATTTTTAGCTCAGTGCATAACTACCTAACTAAAACATTACATTTTCCAGCTTCTCTTTCTAGCTCTTCTCTTGCTCGTGTACCTAAGTTCTAGGTGGTGAGGTATAAGTGGAAGTATTATGTGGAGTTTTGGGGAAATCATCTCAGAAGGGAGAGGCCTGTCCCTGCTTGTTTATTCCTTTTCCTTCCTGTGGTTGAAGCATGAAACCCCATGGTAAAGATAGCATGTAGCCAGGTTAGAGGAGCATAGGTACTTGAGCTCTAGTTTTCATCTCTAGTTTTCTGGGGTTTCACATGAAAAATAAAAGTGACACAGTCTTGTCTGAAAAAACCCAGAGAACAGATAGACTTGGAGCAGCCCCTCTAATCACATGCTTGCCTTGCCTAGCTCTATCTGGTCATCTCCTCTCTGAGCTCTATTTCCTCCCAGCTGCCTGGTCTGCTCTAAATTAAGTTGTACATGTATTCTCATCCTTTCTTTCAGAGCCAGCCATTAAAATCACTGCGCAAGCTGTTACATCTCTCTTCAGCCTCAAATCACCCAGCTCCCTCAGATCCCCGTTTCCAGCCCTTATCAGCTCAACAAACCAAAAATTCTTTCTCAGAAATTCGTATTCACCCCCTGAGCCAAGCCTCTGGTGGGAGCAGCAACATCCGGCAGGAGCCCACACCAAAGGGCAGGCCAGCCCTCCAGCTGCCAGGTCAGATGGATCCTGGTTGGCACGTGTCCTCTGTGACCAGGAGTGCCACTGAGGGGCCTTCCTACTCTGAACAGCTGGGTGCCAAGAGTGGGCCAAATGGGCACCCTTATAACAGAACAAATCGCTCACGAATGCCAAATCTGAATGATTTAAAAGAGACAGCCTTGTAATTTGTGCTGGGGTAGGGGGAGGGGAAAAGCCAGTTGGGAGGGGAGGGCGCGGGGTGGGCTAGGGAGTGGGCTGGGCCTGGGTGGTAAGCCAGTATTCTCAGCTTTATGAAGGTGTGTGCAATATTGTACATGTGAGGCCATCTGGCTCCTCACAGCTACAAATGCTAGTCAGGGATCTTAGAGCCAAGGGAATTCCTTAGGGATCACCACTCCCCACAGGTCTTGTGTGAGAATGGATAGAGTGTACCATTGAGGAAGAAGAAATTCTTGCCAATTTCTCCCCCTTACATTCCAGCTTTAGTGCAATCTCTGTTGAACTTGGGAAAGCCAGGACGTGTCCTAGCACTGCAAGGGATAGAAATTCATGTTGACCGATGACCTTACCACGTATTTTTTTCTGCCTAGACTAAATGTGGGGTTTATTGTAATCCAAGAGTATCCCTTTGAAGGGTTAGCAGATAAACTGTATGTCTTAAATTGTTTTCTAAGCTTCCATATTTGATAGGATTTGTAACATTTATTTATAATTAATATTGTACTGTTATAATCATACCTTTTATGTTATAATGTAAAGTTATTTTGAGCTGTTTGGAACATTGTGAAGCAGTGGGACAGCTACAGTAGTTTCTATAAAAACTAAACAGTAACATTTATATACTGCATCAGGAGTATTTTATTCTCTATATAAATATATATATGGTAAATATCTGTCTGTTTTATAAATATATTCATTTAAAGAAAGTATCGTTATGACACTATCTGCCATATTTTTATACATTTGTGATATGAAGTGAGTATTATACTTCTGATAAAGGGAGTTGAATTGTGGCTACATGTGACTATAACAGTATGAACCTTGCTCAACTTTTCAGCCCCAGCAATAGCCTCTAGATGTGATTCTTAGTAGCAAACAAAATGCAGCATCTCTTTCTAGGCCCATAAGGGATGGTCCTATAGACCAGTGAGGATCCCCACAGGCCTCGCTTTCCGTCCTCACACTTGGCTCCCATTTGTGTCCAGGGACATTACTCACACATGAGGGGAGATAGAGGCATTGCTCCCATGAGACTTTTAGAGAGAGTGTGCTCTTCCACTTAGCATCAGTGTAAAGTGTAGACCGAAGATTTGCCCGTGAACATTCTTTGTCGTGAGGGTGTAAGAGGCACCTGTCTGCAGATCTTGCAAACCAGCTCTATGCTCCTGAATACTGTCTGCCCTCCTGGAGACTCTTGGCTCCAGGTGGGATGAGATACATGTGTGGCATTTCTGTTTCGAAATGCTTTTTCTGTTACTGCTCTTTCTGATATACTTAAAAGGCTCCTGAAGCAATTCCAGATGTAGAGAAAAAAATATATATATATCTCCTTTTTTTCTTCCTGGCACTGTCCATTTATAACAAGGTCATCATACACACCTGTATATATACACCCACTCCATCTGAACAGTACCTATATTTCCCCTCATCTGATCGCTTTCATTTCCCAAGCGACTCCTGTGTTACTCTACATGTCATCAAAGCCTTTGGCCAGCAAGTGTCACACACCCCTGTGTCTCTGGGCCATTCTTGACAGAAATCACCTCAACACCATCATGTATCAGTAGTATTAGATATTTGGAAGTAGTCTCTTAGCAATAAGACTTTTAGCAGTTCCCCCCTGTCAAAGAGGTAACTTCTCAGTATTTATTACTCATTCCAGAATTCTGAGAGGGTCGTCCCTGAATCAAGTCAATTCTTATTGAAAAATGCTGAGTTACCCTTTACCCTCCCCCAAGATTTTGAGAATTTTTAGCTCTGATGATTATGAAGATTATAAAGAAAAAAGTCTTAGATTCTTTGAAGCTTAAATTGTGTGCATATTGCATTTTATATAAATACTATAATGTGTATTGATTATATATAGAGGTCATTTTAAGGTGCTTTTTATTTAATATTAATAAGTATAATAGGCACTAAGATGAAACTCATCTGGGTACTATCATTGAAACAATTTGATTCAAATCGTTAGCTTTGCATGCTCTCGTTCTTTTTCTATCTTTTTTCTTTTACCAGTTCAATACCGTTTGGGTAGCTCTGAATTCTGGCTTTTCCCAGGCAGCTGCTTGGTTATACGAGTGAGGTAGACCCTCAGCAGTTTTTTGCCTAGATATAGTGACTCTTAAAAGGTATATATTTAACTGTTCTTTTTCATACTAAATCTGTACCTTGTTATCCCCCTTGCAAACCAGAAACTACATTTTTTCCCTCTGGAAAGACTTCTCACTGTGCAGTGCGCTTAGAAATTGCGCGGTCCCATTGCCCTACTGTGGCATTTGAGGCTCGTCGTCACCTGGGGGCTGGTTTCCCATCTTGTCCTCTTTGCTAACAGTGGGATCTCAGATGTTTGCAGAACATTTATATTCATGACAGTTCTTCAAAGAAGGGCTAGAATAATTGCCTTCTACCTATAACAAACTAAACCTAACTAATGAAGAGTCGGTATATACTTTTCTGTATGTTCCCAGATTTGAGCCAGAAAATAGCTACATTTTCGGCTAGTGTTTTCGAGGTAGCTCTTTTATCCTCCTAGCTTTTGTCCCTTCTGACTTTTCATTGATCCTCAGTAAGCTGTAAGTGAACCTACAGTCGGCATTTCTAGCATGTCATTCTCTTTCTGCTCACAGGGTGGGATATGGGGGCTACGAAGTTTTCTCACAGATCTAATGGGCCCTCTCTTAGCTTTGAGCTGTTGCTTTCCCCTCTGCTTGATGAAGAGTTATTGACCTCACAAAGACTGTGATCCATGCATGGTAGGAAAGACTTGACCTAAAGTCACAACAAATTGCATTTTCTCTAGGAAGAGGAATTTATGACACCCGCGTTCTATCGTCTGCCCTAACCTCCTAGAGGTACAAAGGCTAAATGAACACTTATGAATTACTTTGTTTTATGAAAGTATCACTGATCTTTTGAAAAGCAGATCGGCTTCTCTGTTTTTCTACTTTTGCTTCTCCACCATCCTCCTTTTTCTTCTCTAAAGGTCTGAGTGAACTTTAACTGAACCTTGTTCAGTCTTGACTGATGCTTAGCCTCTCTTCAGAGCCCAAGACCAGAAGGGAGTGTTCATGCCAGGGGGCTCAAGCGAGCTGTCTCTATAGCAAGCGCTTCCCCTCCAAGGGCAATTTTGCCCTCCTGAACACATCTGGCAATGTCTGTAGACATTTGGTTGCCACTAGGGGCATCTTGTAGGTGGAGACCAGGGGTGCTGCTAAACATCCTGCAATGCACAGGACAGCCTCCCAGACACAAACTGATCAGCCCTGAACATCAGTAGTGCTAAGGTTGAGAAACCCTGCCCTATACCATTCCAGGCCTGTACCACCACCAAGTCTGTAGCACTTGGCTCTGGCTTTGTTCTTTCCAGAGCATAGAACTGCAAGTATGAATTCTTCAACATCACATTCTCTTAAAGAATCTTCTACCACTATTCTTAAGTTCTTGGTATCCTGTTTGTTCGTTTCCATTGTCTTGGGCCTGCTAAAAGGTACATACTTTGGGAGGAAACCAGAGTTACTTTATATGTGTTTGAGAATTTAAATCCTAGATTAGCATCCTTAGAAAATCTTTCATAGAGCCATGAGGCTTATTTTTAGAAGCAAGCAGCAGCCTGGCAGATTGGCATGATTTTTACCAACTGCTCAAAAGCATCCATGGCTTTTAGCTGTGTCTACTCAAAGAAAATGTCTTTTTTGTTCGTTCAAGTCATTTAATAGCTCTTTACAAATATTAGCATATGGCAGACCAATTAGAACCAAAAAAACTTTATTGGTGGTTGTGATGTGGCTGTTATAGAAGTATTTTACTGTATGCTTTGATTAAATCTGTTTTAAAACATGCTTTAAGACTCACCATATGCAATTGTATACTTTAATTCTAAGCTCAGAGCTGTGCTGGTCAGTTTCTAGTTGCGCCGTGTATTATAACGTATGTTGTGGTTGTAGAATTAGCCAGTTTAGCATGTTCCTAATCTGAAAATTAGTGGACTACACTAGGAAATGCTATCCCATTTTCCCTTCTCAGCACCTCTTAGTTGATATCATAGTATCCTCACTTCTTAAATTAGTTTTTAGAGTAAATAAGGAAAAAAGCCATTTATTTTCTTCTAGCCATGTATTGAAAGTGATTCATAAGTGTATAACTTTTTTTCAAAGGCCAGAGGATTGCTTCTCAAATGCATACAAGGCTCTGTCCACTTCTGTTCACCTTGGTCCCAGTGATGACAGAACTCTTTTGGCAAGGGCAGTAAGTAGCTCATCCTGAGTCAATGCTGGAGCTCAGCTGGAACTCAGTAAGTCTTTATATTCTCTCCTGTTCAGAACCTGTTCTCTGGAGAGCATTGCTTTTATATCTACAAGTTCATTGCTTCCTGCATTCCAGTGGGATGTGGAACTCTTTGTGGGTACTAAAACCCACAGACTCTTACTTCTGTGAACCCAAAAAGTAGTACAGTACACTAAACCAGAAAATAGTGGTATATTTCCTTGCCTCTTTCATTCATCACTAATACATTGCATAGATGGAGAAAGCATATTTGTGGTTTAAGAAATAACAGTACTGTTTCTTTGAAAGGGACTGCAGAAAAGATAGTGCAAATGTTGTAAATGTCATGTCACTAACTCCGAGAACCAGAATCTCACAAGAAGGTTCTCACAGAGATTTAAAAGGTCAGCTTAGGGCTAGGGCTATAGCTCAGTGGTAAGCACTTGCCTACCATGCGTGAGACCTTGGATCCTATTCCTGGTACCACCAAAAAGTACATACATACATATATATGTATGTATATATGTGTGTGTGCATATATATATATATGCACACACATACATACATACATATATATGTATGTATATGTATATATGTGTGTGCATATATATATGTATGTATATACATGTATATATGCATGCTGGCTTGGGAACAAAAAGAAAAAAGGTTTCTTTTGCTTCTTGAGTAGCTGAGATATACAATATCTTAAGGTATGGCTCAGCTGATTTAAAAATTTTGTCTTGGAAACCATGAGTAAGAAGCCACGAAAGAAAATCAAGTCTCTAGTCTATCTGTATACCCTCAATGGGGGAGAAGTCTGATGGCTAGGAAACTCTGGGCCTGCTGCTCTATGTGACTTTTTTTCAATTGAATGTATTATATAAGATGGTAGACTTCTGTGTGAGCCAGTTTCTACAATGTCTTCATTTCCCACATTACTTTGTTAATCCATCTGTGTCAGGCCTGGTTGGTCCTGATTCTACTTTTCTTCTCTCCACCAGGCACTGACCCACCTTTCTGTGTATTCACTCTAGGCTATTAAACATGATCCTTCCCTGCCTTGTATTTTCATCCATCAAATGTTTACTCCCAAATTTAAGGGAGGGTTGTCTTGTTTTGCCAGAAAAATTTTGTCACAGTCTGCATGCTGGATTTGTAGGGCCAGCAGAACTGCAGTAGTGAAAGTGGTGTCACTTCTAAGGCCCTTCATTTCCCACAAAGGTAAGCTCTCTACACCCCCTTTGATCCTTGGTCATATTTGATCCTCCTTGGGAATCTGAAATCGGTCTCCGTGTTGTATGCAGATTAGAAGTTGCCTTGTTCGCTGCTCTTCCCATGCAGAGTATCAGGGAGAA